CCAATGGTTGCATTCAGCAGACTCAACAGTTTTGCAACCGTTTTATGATTGTCTGCTGAGATAGGACCATTCTTCTAGATCTAAAAGTATGATCCAATTAGCGCGAAGGAAACTTCCAACAGTTGCAAAACAAACGTTCTGCTGAACGCAGCCAATGGCTGCGTTCAGCAGACTCAACAGTTTTGCAACCGTTTTATGATTGTCTGCTGAGATAGGACCATTCTTCTAGATCTAAAAGTATGATCCAATTAGCGCGAAGGAAACTTCCAACAGTTGCAAAACAACCGTTCTGCTGAACGCAGCCAATGTGGTGTGGTGCGGCGCGGCGTAATTCGCATAATGGCACTATAGCAGTAACAGTAATGGTCTAATGTCACACACGGCGCACGCGGGCTGACGCGGGGGCGGAACGGAACAGCTGATCCTTACCGCGTCTTGGCTGGTCTCTTGGCGTCTGTTGCTGTCGGCCGCGTTCCACGATATCGTCCTCAATTGACGATTGCCGTCAATTACGTTGGCGTCGACGGTGGCAACGGTGGTTAGGTTCGACGAGTTCGCGAAAAGAGACAGCGTGCATCTCGGTCATCTTCGAAGTCCGAATCCTCCCCCGAGAGCTGTGCTAAGTGGTGACTTGGTGAGTGCTCGGTAGTGCTCGGCGGCCGCGCGAATTAACCCTTTCCCGCGACTACCGAATACTTGAGCTGAGACTACTCCCCACCGCGACATCCTTGGACGGAGAGCTCAGTCATCTCGCCTAGTCTGCACCTATCATCTGATTTAATTCGAGACATTATCACCAGGATTATGGCCAGTCCGGTGGTTGGCACCGGATATAACTTCAAAGTGGTTTTGCTCGGCGAGGGATGTGTCGGCAAGACCTCAGTCGCCCTTCGATATGTCGAGGACAAGTTCAACGACAAGCATATCACCACGCTACAGGTGAGTCCTCCTGTAATTGCGTTTGCGTGAAACTTGGTTTCTTAGTCTTTTTAATCTCGAATTTGTACCTACCTATTTTTGAAAAGGAGCTCTCGAAATTGTTTCGCAGCGTACTTACACGAGTCTCCCGGCATAGAAAATGGCATAGAAAACAAGTTGTCGTACATACTAATATACTAATAATAAGATTTAAAAAATATTGTAATTTGCGGCGTATATTGTATATATTATAACGGCGATTAGGAAAGTTTCCTTAACTTCTTCCTTAACGCCGAGCGCTTACGGAAACGCATCTCGATGATTTGGCATTTACTTCATGTTTGTTCATGTTTCAGGCGTCGTTCCTGAATAAGAAATTGAATATCAACGGGAAAAGAGTGAACTTGGCGATATGGGACACCGCCGGGCAAGAGAAGTTTCATGCATTAGGACCAATTTATTACAGAATGTCCAATGGTGCCATTCTTGTGTACGACATTACAGACGAGGACACCTTCCAAAAGGTACAACTATCTATACAAATATCTATCTACACAAATATCTATCATGCAAAATATTTATTTCTGTATTCATGATGTTGAACAACTTTTTGTGCATGTTATCAGGTAAAAAACTGGGTGAAGGAGCTTAAGAAGATGTTAGGTAGTGAAATTTGCTTAGTGATAGCAGGTAATAAAGTGGACCTGGAGAAGGACAGGAATGTTGCCATAGAGGAAGCTGAAGAGTAAGTTTGATGAATCTTCTCTCTTACATGGCATTAGGTATTATTAAGTGAACATAGCACATTACCACCAACGAATCTTCTTTCCTCAGATATGCCAAACAGGTGGGAGCTATGCATTTTCATACATCAGCCAAGTTAAACCAGAACATCGAAGAGATGTTTCTGGACTTGACCCAACGCATGATGCAACGCGCGGATGAGGCTGAGCAAAAGTCCACGCTCACGAGGACTAATAGTATGCGTCGCAATGTCGTGATGGTCGAGGACGAGGCAGAACAAACTCAACCGAATAGAAGTTCCTGCTGTGGTGGTGGTGGTGATAGTAGTGGTGGTACCAGTGGCAGTGGCGGTGGAGGCGATAACAGCGACTTTTTGTAGACCTTTAAAATCAATTTACATTCGAATCCAGATACAAGGTCTAATTTCGGTAATTTATTATGTATAGGATGGAGCGTCTCAAATGTGACAAATTACTATCTGTAAATGATAGTTTGTCGTATTACAAATGCTTCATCTTGTATATATATAAGGACAAGTGCGTTACGTATGTATGAGTGTGCACATGTATGCCTATATATATGTATATTTTTAGCTGCAGTAATTCTTGGATAGCAAGGATACTTATATACTTGTGTATATATAATCCGAGGCAGATTCCGTATTATACCACTTTGTTGAAGAGAGATGACTTGTTAAAATTTTCGATAGATTTGTACGCATTATATGGTTGCAGCCTTTCATTGTTATTTATGAACATCGTGGAATAAGCTTCCTTTTTTCAGACAGATTTGCCTCTCGAGTATTTTCGTCGTCTCGATGAGATTCATCTTTTGAAGTAATTTTTCATTCAAAGCAATCGTGAAGCAATGTATAATGTCACTTCTTTCCAATGAATCATTATTCCAGATGCTACTTTTTTATAAATATATATATGATTGCACAAGTGCAGTGGGTTTCTCTATTACTTAAATCACACGTTCGTAATGGAGAAGAAACAGTGTCTGAAATATCAATTTTGTCATCTAGCTGTTTTGAGTTTCTCAATCTCCGTGTAGTTGCAAAAATTTTGTAAAAAGCAAAATGGGTAAATGCTTTGTCTGAATCATCCCGTTTTCACAATGCCATTTTTTGATATATAAGTACTGTAATCTTTGCAATCCACAAATTGCTACAAGCTGATTAACTAAAAATTTAACATAATCATTAGACGGCGCGGTCTTGTCGCAAGACGAGGGCATTTTCAAGGAAAAACAGAAAAAGACTTTCGACTTTTATCCAAAATGATAATTTGGGTTATTGTACATATTAATTGTGCCGATAATTTTATTGTATTGGTTTGGATCGTATATTAAGTAACACGCAATATGTTTATTCATCTCAAGTTATATAAATTAGCGATACAAGAGAGTTGTTATTTAAATTATTGTTACTGTAAGTTATTTTATGAACATAAAATGGTAACTCTTGTAATAACGTTACAGAGAAACGCTTCATTTAACATTTATACCTCGATCCCATCGTCACGAAAGTTAAGTTTTGCTTATGAATTATACACAAAAGTGAAACTGAAGATCTATAAATAAACACGCTTTATTACACCTTCTATTGACAATAACGAGGAATGTAATCATGTCACATCAGTTCTATATAGGTCTGGGTTAGTCTTTTTTTTGTGATAGAGAGCGGATTGAGACTGCCAAGCTCATACTTTATCCCAGTTACCTATAATGGCAGGACTATTTAAGGGGATATACAAACCTACGGTTTGCTACGCGAAAAATTGCCAAGTCTCGTATTCTTACACTTAGACGACGGACAAACTTACTAACTTTTTATAGATAATACAATACTTGGCATTTAATACATGTAAATTTTTCCCTTTTTTTCTCTTTCTCTCATCTTTTAGTTCTCGTTATGACATCAAGTGAAACTAATAACAAGATGATTTTTTGAGATCATAATTGAAAAAGTATTATGAAATCTCTAGAATTTTCTTGTGTGTGACGCGTGTGTAGAGTGCATGAAACATACTAATATCACACTAATCACTTACTCTCAAGCAATTACGTTAATTCTAAAAATAGCACAAATTAATTTGCTCGCAATTATAACTGTACAGAGAGAGGGGGGAGGAGGGAGAGAGGGGGAGAGAGAGAGAGAGAGAGAGAGAGAGTGTGTGTGTGTGTGTGTGTGTGTGTGTGTGTGTGTGTGTGTGTGTTTTAGGAAAGCTATAAGATGGACCTGTTTGAATTATAAGATAATATTTAATTTTTGTTCCAATTATATATATCAGAACATTTTGTTACTTATATAAAACGAATATTCGTTTGTATTACCTAAAGTTTCAGTACAGTATTTCTCTATATTATACATATATATATATGTACGTTGCACGCACGCACGCACGCACGCAGTGTCCCGTAAGTTTTTGCCAAGCGCTTTTGTGTAGATAGAGTGGACTAAACTGAGTCGAAGAGTCCTCTACCATTTTGTAATTTTCACAATAATTAATAAGATATTAATTATTAAAAATCGCTGTGAATATTGGTTTTCAATAATTCTTTACTCAAATACTATCAACTTTACAGAAAAACAGCGAGAGACAAAAATGGTTTATTTTCTTCTCATAAAGTTCTGAGAATTTTTTCAGAATTTTTTAGTACCGTATTTTCTCATGTTGGTAAAAATAAGAAAATACAGTACTAAAATGTTGATAAAAAAAATTCTGAAAAAATTTTTAGAGTTCTATGAGAAAAAAATAAATGATTTTTGTCTCTTGCAGTTTTTCTGTAAAGTTGATAGTATTTGAATAAAAAATTATTGAAGACCAATATTCGGTAATTTTTAATAATTAATATCTTATTAATTATTGTGAAAATTGCAAAATGGTAGAGGACTCTTCGACTCAGTTTAGTCCACTCTATCTACACAAAAGCGCTTGGCAAAAACTTACGGGACACCTTGTATAAACACACATATGTGTGCGCGCGCGTGCACAAATCTTCCTTATTACATCTATCTCGGCTCTTCGAGTTTATTTAAATATAGTATCACATACTATATACTATATTCGTTAGACCACAATTATTGTTAAATCATGAATTTTTGCAATATATACAAAATCTGCAAGAGATGCAAAGGATGTCAAATATTAAAAAGATTTGTTGCAATTTTCCTATTGTAGATTTAAAATGTATATCAAAACTTTTTATGAAAATTTCGTTTCCACAAGACCTTTAATTAATATGATTAATACAATACAATGTGATTGAACAACTTTAACAATTCCGACTTTAATGAAAAGAAATAACAAAAGACGATTATTATGCAAATGTGAATCCATTAAAACAAAAATTATAATTTATTTAATAACAATTATTAATTTAATTTAAAGTTTTTAATTGAAAAAAGAAAATAACAAGATAAAAATAATTAAAATCTTAAAAATTATACATGAAGTGTGTGTGTGTGCGTGTGCGTGTGTGTGTGTGTGTGTGTGTGTTCTATGTAATATGCTAAAAAAGATTAATTTGTTGTTTGAAAGTTTTAGTAATATTAAGCGATTTTTTAAAATCTAAACAAAAATCGGGATAAATCACGGTTTATTTCATAATATCCCGACGAAGGCATCCCGCTCGATATATTTTTTTCATCCTCGAATATATTATTATATATTTTCTTACGCGTTATTAAATAGATAAACATTATTTCTAGATAATCTTACATATTTTATATTCACTGTGTGACGTTCTCATGTATCTTTGGTATTTGGTCATAATTTTTCTCTAAATATACAGACATGTCTCTTGACATGTTAAGAGTTACAGAATAGAGGCTCAGCTGTGCGATATTGAAACACCAGTTTCAAGAAACTGGTGTTTCAATATCGCACAGCTGAGCCTCTATTCTGTAACTCTTAACATAAGTTTCGTTATCGTTATAATATCATTGCGCAGCTTTTTTATCATGGTAAAAAAAGCTGCGCAACGACGTTATAACGATAATGAAACTTGTGTCAAGAGTTACGGAATAGCCCTGCTGACATCAATTCGAACGTTTTACTCTTTCGTCCGAAAATTATTATACCTATTCATATTAAAAACTCTTGTGCAAAATCACAATTGTGTAAATGAACAATTTAGTGTTTCCTTCTATTTTCCTCTCTTTCTCTATCACGTAGAATATAAAAATATTTCGGCAAATGAAAATGTGGACGTGTAGTTAGTTGAATGTTACAATTAGGCCTTCGGTGCTGTCGCCTTTAAATAATAAATATCTTATCTTGATAGGTGAATAAAAAGTCTATAAATTGATTGATGGGTCCTATCGCAGAGAGGGACATTCCACATGCTGGCGGTGCTCTAACTAGATTCGGCCCAAATACGACCGCGAGATTACTAGAAGTCATCTTATTCAAGTCGCATCGATCCATTACCTATCAATAGTAAAAAAAAGATACAGGTGAACATAAAAGTCGATTTTTCATCATAAGAAATCGGGACTGCGAACATTGGTTACGTACCCTCGATAAAAATTGTACGATGTATTTAAGAACTTGATAGTTGTCTTCAGGGAGTTTCTCCAATATTAATATCTTAACTTTACGCGGACGTTCGTCTTTTGATAATGCTACAGTAAAAATTTAAAGAAATACTTTATGTCGCTGTAATACTTGGAAAAACAAGAAAAGGAAGGAATATAATGCTCACTTTGGAATTGCGTGATTTCGTCGTACAATTCGTAAGTCATAAGAGGCTCGTCTAATTCACGGAGAAAAGTCTTGAGTAAAACCGCGGCGATATGGGGATCTCCTTGGAAATCGATGGGTAAACCTTGATTACAGCGATTTTGAAGTTCTTTGATTACTGCTACGTTAGCCGATCTTCTGAATATCCCTTCTGTCTCTAGAGCTGAAACAATGACAAAACAATTGTCAATTAGAATACAACAAGATGAAGCAGATTGTTTTTGTTGAAATATCGTACCGTCAGGTGTATCGAGAAATTCTACACACTGTCTTAGAATCGGTGGTATTGAATCGCCATTATTATTTTCTTTTATGAATTGCAGATTAGCACCGAACTGAGTCGTGCCAACTGGCGTAACTACCGCGCTTTGTGGTGGACTCGCCGGTAAATTTTTCTTATTTTTCATCATCAGTTGTTCATTGTGTCTGAAAAAACCGTCCCATGTGAATTACATTACATGTGAATTGCATGCAATTTGATTTGACAAGATTTTATTCTTTTACTATTTTGCATAATAGCACAACTAAATTGCATACTCTATCACTTGAGGTGGTATAATTAGTTGATCCAGGTTAACGTATTGTGCCAATTCCTCTAGATAATTAACATACATCATTTTCCGTCCGAATTTTACACTGTAAAGATCAATATAACAAATCATGTAACATGTAAGAATTTGAGAAAAGAGTATCCAACTCTTTCATTTAGAAAAGAAAAGATTTTACATATACCTAATAGCTGGTTTAAATATTTGCCACACAATCCTAATAAAATTAGTTGGATGTACTAGATAAAGAGCTTTGAGATTCTTCTTATATTTTCTATCAAACGCCTTATACGCTTGCCACAACCAAGATAAAGGTGGCTTATTTTTCGACGTAAGGCCATAATGAAAGTAGACGAGACTATAATCTTGTTCCACGAACATATCCAAAGTATGCGTAAGATATCTAATGGAAAGAATTTTATTTTAATTTATTAAATAAAAAAAATGGAAAGCTAGTACTGAGAAAATAGAAAAACTTGGCACATACAACTGTTGGAAATGATGTAAGATGACTCGCGATTCTTAAATAATTTACAGGCAATTGTAAGACACATTGTTTGCGATGGAATAAATATCTCCTGTGTCATTTTTATGACATAGATATATCGCAAACTCACCTGAGGAGTTTAGCATGATTAAAGGTCTCTTTTCCAATGGGGGGCAATTTGCAAGCTGACACAACAATTATTTTGCGACCGGCACTATCGTCGCCGACTACCTCTACGATACCATGTCTGGATATGTCAAGATAATCTTCCTCATCGGCGAGCTCTCCATCTAAAGCAGCCAGATCGTCCGCTATTCATTAAAACAGACAAATTTGTTGTGATATCAGGTTGTTCATTTCGTAAGCATACTCTCGCAACAAATTTGTATCAACTAAAAATTTTATTTAGCAAGAACAATTTGAATCCTCGGAGCAATCCTGTTTTATTAGAAAAAAAAGTATATTTCACATCAAAAGATTTACTCACTTCAAATGCTATGAGTGTACATAATGTTATTGTTGTAAAACTGATTAAAAAGAAAGCAAAATAATTGTCACATTCCCTTTCCTTTTTCATCCTTATGCCATGCAATGTAAAACAAGCTATACAATGTTCTACACATAATTCACCTGCTATGCCCCGAGAATGCCATGACATTTACTGGCTACTAACAGAAGGTAAAAGGTCACACACCAGATTCAATAACTGGAGCATCTACCAAAGCTTCCTCAAAGTTCTCCTCAATTGTGCCGTCACTCACTGGGCTTTCCAAATAATCCATTCCAGCACCTATGCTACCGCTTACCAAATCCAATTTTCCTTCCAGAAGTCTTGCCGCTGTAAACATTAAAGTCAACTTTAAACAATTACCATAGCTGTTGCATCTCACACGCACGTACACACGTACACACGTACACACGTACACACGCACACACGCACACACGCACACACGCACACACGCACACACGCACACACACACACACACACACACACACACACACACACACACACACACACACACACACACACACACACACACACACACACACACACACACAAAAAGAGATCTTCCACTCTTTTTGTCTCTCTAAAAATAAGAAGAAAATGAATACTGTTATTTAATAAAACAGATGTCAAAATATATATTTGATGCAATTTACCATTATTTGAAGTAGTTTGCAATTCTGTATCGTCAAATTCCAGATTTGGTTCGTAATCGTGATAATCTGACAGGCTAGGATATGGATCTTCACAGTCGTTGCCCATTCCTGTTAAATGTCAATACAAATCAGTCGACGATAAATAAACAGATGAAAATGATGGGATACCTGCATGCATTACAATGCATCATGAGCAAGATTTAAAAAAATCTCTATCTCTATAAAGATATATGAAACCTAATCAGCATTATACCGCATATTTAATAGCAAGTTCGTTCTGCGCAGGAGATCAAAGTCATTGAGAGCTCCTTTCGTATAAACCTGCGATTTTTTACGACCTCCACTCGCGGATGTAATGACAATCGCGAACACACTATTCGCATTTTATTTACTCAGACTCGTAGCCGACTCTTGGCTGTATCGCCCTCCTACTACCTACTTGGAGGCGAGAGCCATCAGCCAATAAACAAAGAAGTAGCCGACTCCTAGCGTCTCGCTTCTGCTGACTCTCGATTTGATCCGCGTCGGGTCGAGTTCACATACTACTCACATCGAAGGCTTCGCCTTCGTTCGCCTCGGAGGCGAGGCGAGGCGAGTCGGAGGACGAAAAGAACACGTTTGACGCGTCCTTTGTGAAAAACCGATCTAGTCTGGCATTTCACCTGTCAACGTCCGTGATGGACTTAGCGTCGGCTGATAGTCCGCCTCCATCCTTTCCTTCCAGCCCAGCGTTGATGCGGCTGGGATGACGACGCGGCGGACACCGTGGCCGCTATCGATGGTGGCGAATTATCGATGATATCTCGGCGATCTTACAGACAGCTGCGCAAAACGTTACCCTCGCGCGACGACATCATCCGCTTCCTCGCGACGTGTTGTGTGCGACTAGTACGACATGCTCTACCTGGCTCTACTTATGGATCACTAAGGATCACATCACGTCACGCTTTCATATGTCGTCATGTCTGGTCATGTCATGCGAGTTGTGGGTCGTGCCTTCGTGGTTCGTGGTCGATCCAGTGGTAGTGGTGGGTAGTGGTGCCCAGTGGTGCCGGTGGTGCCAGATTCTGACTTGCGCTATCACTTAGTAACGCGTGGTGGGGGAAAAGTGGGGGTAGTTTCCGATAGCTGTAGCTATAGTTTTAGCT